TATTCGAGTGTGCGTTTCATAATCTGGACGTCAGTGATGCGTTGATCTCACATTCTCACTAAAATCTCTATCTAACGAGTTAATGTATATACCCCGTTTAATGAGTGTAAATATTAGCTATATTACTCATAAACACAAGTAGCATGACGTAAATAAATAAAAGATATTATTTTACTGCTGTATAGATGAGATGATTCATATACATACGTTTACTCAGCCTAGATCGTTTGAGGCCGTTTAAGGAGTGATAGTTGATTTATCCCATAATACCATTAAATTTTTCTTAGCCCTGCCTCTCAAAAGGTTATCTCATCCAGACTGGACTGCAGTTTCCACCTCGCCCGAATCTCTGCAGAGGAATTTGATACCGGGTCGTGAGGATCGTGAAGATGTTAGCACTTTACTCCACTCCGTTGCATCGTTAACGGGTGCCAGTGAATCACAGGCTATTTGAAACATTTAGGGCAAGTTGGGCTTCTGCCAACTCACATTTATAATGGGACTGTCGATTAAGCATACATGAGAGAGAGAGAATACGAGAGAACACAAAGAGTATAATGAAAACAGCGAACAACCTGGAGTCTGGTTTGGGGCTCAAAATCGCCAACTAACTCATGAGTATCAAATACACACCGCATACTAATGCATTAAGACATACAGACAAAAGTTGCGTCCATATCCACTCTCCTTCCTGCATCAACTTCATTCATCCACCTGCAATTGGGACAAGCATACATCAGCTGACCAAATCATGGAATGCCTAATTAAGATCGCAAAGTGAGGTATAAGAAGTGGAATTTCAGCCGCCTGTCTTCCATGGTTTAAGGTTTTTTGTCGATTGTTCGTAAATAATGGTTTCTGACTCTGATTACGTCCGTCACATGACGGACAAAAGCTCAGTACAGACGGTGAGCCGAGGTTTTTCTCACACAATCCGACGGCTACAAGGCCAAGGCAACCATGTTTCGGTATCCAATGCTGCTTTTTGAATGAAATAAATGGTATGCCAGCATCAGGCACACATGTATTTGCCAGTGATATCCACGGTATTACTTATTTTCGATATAAGTAGTCATTAAGACTATCAGTAATTTGTGAATGAGTATTTAGTCTTGAAACCACTTATATTTACATAAAAAGTAATTCTTATTTCGTGTTACAACTTTTCTGATCTCCTGATTTAGAATATAAATAAAATGAGTATTATAAGGAGGATTTCATATGTTCCGCCACACGGCAAGCACTATCTTGTTAATGTAGCATTAATTTTTGCTTCTTGTGAGTGTACAAACTTGGCTTTCTATTTCTGCGCCCCTCCACTATTTCATACAGTTTCTGGTCCGATCCCACTCGACAGGCTGGTTGATTATGTGCGCCGGCTGCAAGCGGACAATGGACGACTGTTGGCGGCCGAGTTCGAGTGCATCGACCCTGGCGGCCAGTTCACTTGGACAGTGTCAAACAGACCCGAGAATCGGGGTAGAAACCGATACGCCAATGTTGTCGCCTACGATCACTCGCGTGTCCGCCTGTTGCGTCCTTCGCCCACTCAAGCTAGCTTAGAGGAGGTCTGCCCGAGTGTCTCCGAATATATCAACGCCAACTACCTCGATGGCTTTGGTCGTAGCAAAGCCTATATTGCCACTCAAGTGAGGACAAATACTGATTCATTGGAAGCATCTACCATATAAACATAGACTAAACAGTTTCATTTAGAATGCCTCTAGAAGATTTTACTTATATGTTATTTGGAAGCTCTCTCTTGTTAAATAGTATTCTTATTCGTCAAGACTTAAAAGGCTTTAATCACAAACAATAATATGCATTAAAGTCATTTGAAATTCTACTGATTATCTCATTTTCTTAGCCATTCTCGTTGCCATATTAACCAGTAATGGGGTTATTATTCACATAATGTACCTTTGGCTAACTTCGGCTTATTATACACCATGAAAGATGTCTTCGTTCGGGACCCATGTTACATTATTATATGCTAATTGGATGAATCAACTTTATATGATATCTCCTGGCAGCTTCGAATATGAATCAGTGTATTTAGAGGAATTGTCCAAGACGATTTATCCCAGATTTCACGATTTTCCCATACTCGCAGAGCTATTTCGGCGAATGCCCACCTTATAA